CCGACACCAGATCAAACGTCGAAAAATATCTCATTCCCTCCAATTGATCTAGAATATCCGTTATGTTGGGTAAAGGGTACGCGTCCGCGATCATTTTTTCGTTTAGTTTACGAAAATCGACAACCATGCGCCATCTTTTCTCTCCGTCGGCGCCTGGTTTTTTTCCTACCATCCATGCTGGGGAGTTATATGGTGAGTCAGAGGGTTCAATGATACCTGCTTCTAACATTTTATCTATTTGCTCTTTAAATTTATCTCGAATGTGGAAGGGCAGGCGAAATTGTCTCACTACCACCGGGTCATCATCTTTTAATTTAATACGATACCCTGGTATTTTTGCCTCTTTCAATTTCTCCTCATCAAGTTTATAGACCCACGGATTGTATCGGACAAGGTCTTTTACCTCTTCCTGCTCCTCCTCATCGAGACCCTCCAATTTGAGGACTTCAATAATTTTATTGGCTCTAATTTCGCGCTGTTGATCGTCTGAACTCTCTGTTTCTCCAAATGCTTTAATTTCCGCCTCTGTCGCGATTGACTCTATCTTTTCCAGGTCAACAAATGGAACTCTAAATCGCTCTTCGGTTTCACGGGTATTGTAGACGTACATGAAAGCTACACCATCTTTAGGCCTTACTATCGCATCCCCGAAGTACACTCCTGTTTTGATGTCCCTTCGCGGGAGGTATCCGACCTCAGCGTCGAATTTATTTACTCTGACGTATATTAATTTGACTGTCCTAGGCGGAAGAGGAATTGACTCCGTGTTTACGAACGTATGTATTCTTTCCCCTATAGTCAACGTATCTTCCCCATAGTCAATTTTGACTGCCCTACTTTTTAGAAATGGCCTGCCCAGCATTCCATCTTCTATAAGGGGAAAATCTGAGTCGACGACATGGAATTTGTCCTTGACTCCCTCTACGTCCAGAGTTACGTATCCAACCGTCTTCAATTTCCCCGGTGTAACCCCTTTAATTATTATTATTTCTTCGCGATTTATAGTTACTTTCGGGCTGAGTTTATCCAGTCTCACTAGATTTACATCAGCCCCCGTGTCGACAAAAAATTGACCTTCCCCCCTTTCCATTTTATTAACCTTTAAATGGACTTGAGTGGGGGGTACATCCATTACGCGGAAATTCACATGGGCTGTCTTATATATTACCGTGTTCTGCGCGTTTGACTCGCCCATGCCTCTGAGTCCCAGATCGCGCAGTTTTCCTAGACTCATTCCTAGTTTAAATTTTTGTTAGAGGGACTTGCAACAGCTGGATCTTCCTGTTGTCCCTCTCCCTTGGTTTCCTCAGAAGCCATTTTTCTGGGGAATTGCTGCTTTATTAAATGTGAGGGGGTTCTACATTCTCGCGCGAAGTGTCCGGGTTTGGAGCACTTGTAGCAACTGTAATCAGCGGTGTTGGGTTTCTTCTTCCGCTTATCATTTTGTTTCCCCCCTTTATAATCTGAGTTGCCTTTACCGCTCTGAAAACCGCGTCTCTGCCCGTCGGCTTTGGCTGAATTTGTGGCTTTAATGTTCAATGCCCTCAAATCAGCTTCAAGGGCGTCGTCATCGATTGATTCTGTTGCTCTAATTTTCGCTTGCCCTTGAAACTGCTTTGTTTTTGCGTGCAATTTTCTGAGTTGTTCGAAATCTTCGGTCTCTTTTAATTTGGATTCGATTGTCACTGCAACGCCGACGGCTTCGTCAAAAGAGGTAGGTGTCAGAGGGAACATCATGTTCTTGATGTCTCTTCTGAGACCTGCGAGGAATGCTTCCCTCATGTTCAGTTTTATGCCATGAATGGTAATACCGTAATCAGCCGTCGGGTCCGTGTCAAGTCGACTCTGTGCTTTTAATTGGAGAGCTCTGAAACGCGCTTCATAGTCGGTTACTGATTCCCCGTATTGCTGATATAAACGTGACATTTTTGCGAGGATTTGACGTAAATTTTCTCTAGTTCCGAATGAAAGACGAAGCTTCAGGATAAGGTCATCGAGTGAATAGATGCTAGTTAATGCGCTCTCCACTGCCAATCTTGCCTTGGGGCCGAATTTTGGTAGTATTTGATGGAAGAAATTGAATTCATCTCCCGGTTTCAGAAGTCGACGTGACATATTTAAACTGGTGATGAACCTTTCAACATCGTCCCCAACTTCGTATTTTGGTAGTGGTCTAATGGCATTTCTCACTCTTTGATCCTCTCCATAAAAATTTTCTAATCTTGGATTATATCCCATTCCTGGTCCATATCCCTGTCCTTCAATGCCCAGATTTAATTCCGGTCTTGTGTTCCCGCCTCCAAAATTATTATTCGGTGTTACGGTTCCGGCATTCATTCCCTGTGTTGCGTTTAAGCCGCCAAGACCGAGATTTGATCTGGCAACTCCCAGATTCGACCCTGCAAATCCCAGATTCGACCCTGCAAATCCTAGATTCGACCCTGCAAATCCTAGATTCGACCCTGCAAATCCTAGATTCGACCCTGCAAATCCTAGATTCGACCCTGCAAATCCTAGATTCGACCCTGCAAATCCTAGATTCGACCCTGCAAATCCTAGATTCGACCCTGCAAATCCTAGATTCGACCCTGCAAATCCTAGATTCGACCCTGCAAATCCTAGATTCGACCCTGCAAATCCTAGATTCGACCCTGCAAATCCTAGATTCGACCCTGCAAATCCTAGATTCGACCCTGCAAATCCTAGATTCGACCCTGCAAATCCTAGATTCGACCCTGCAAATCCTAGATTCGACCCTGCAAATCCTAGATTCGACCCTGCAAATCCTAGATTCGACCCTGCAAATCCTAGATTCGACCCTGCAAATCCTAGATTCGACCCTGCAAATCCTAGATTCGACCCTGCAAATCCTAGATTCGACCCTGCAAATCCTAGATTCGACCCTGCAAATCCTAGATTCGACCCTGCAAATCCTAGATTCGACCCTGCAAATCCTAGATTCGACCCTGACGTCGGACTTCCGAATCCCATTCCTTGCCTGGCGAATCCGTAGTCTGTACCAAATGCGTGTGTCGCGCCTAATTCTGATCGTCCCATCCCATAATGTATGCCGGACGCTGAGTTATTTTGTCCCAATCCCAAATTTACTCTATTGTATTCTGGATTTCCCCCATACATTGAGGTCGATTGCCCTAATCCGTAGTTTGACATGCTAACGTTTGAGAATATTCCCTGTGTCTGTGGATTATTTAAGGGTGGTTGGGAGGTATTTCCTGAACTCGCGCTCATTCTCGCACTGGTACTCGTGTACGTCACGGTAGTGTTCGTTGTACTCGAGGCTGACGGTGCCTCGGTTGTTATTGTCGTGGGTGTCACGGCTACCGTCGGCACCCCTGTTCTCGCGTCTTGTGTGCCGTCCATATTTATCCTAATTAACTCTAATCTTGAGAGGTACGGTCTCGAGTCGTCGTTCCGTCTGTCTCGTCGATTATTCCGATTGGTCAACGATCGCTCTGAACGCGTGGGTGGAATTTTGAGGTTGTTTGTGTACTTACGTAGACCCAAAAACGGCGAATAAGAGCCACAATTTCATCCTCCTTCCTCTCGTTGGTGTTTTAATCGCGTTCGTTGTCTCTGCGCGTTGCTTCTCTGCTGGTTGTCCGCGGTTACTAGCTTTTTGGCGGGTTGTCTCTGCTAACACTTTTCTGCTAGTTGTCTCTGCTAGCACTTTTCTGCTAGTTGTCTCTGCTAGCACTTTTCTGTTAGTTGTCTCTGCTCGTTGTTACTGTCCTCGGGTGAAGTTTTGACTTCTCTGGATTCTCTAATCTTCCTTCTATCGAGTGCAGTTGTAACGGGAGATTGAGACGTCTGCCTTTTTCTTGACCGTCGGATTTTTTTTTCTTTTTCAGCACACGCGTATACCTTAATTATTCACTGCAATCCTTCACTTTTTTGTTAACATCACATAATCCTTTGAATCCTTGTTTTTGCACTCGCTTCCCCGAATGAGTGCCCAAAAACACGTTGGGCGCCAATGTGACGAAATGAGATTGTTTGATGTTTTTAACTCATGTTCACCTCCGACCTCGGCTAGTCTCGGTGAGCTCACGGGTGGTTCGCTCAATCGGAGGGATAAGTGAAGGATAGAGGGAGGGTTAACGATATTAAACCGACCGTGCTAATGTGGGTAAAATAATTATATATTAACTTCCTTTTATACACGGTAGTGTTTAATGGGTCGGTATAACGCGGTACTTGACTCGACTTTGGGACCTTGACTTGACTTGGTTCTTGGTTGGCTGAAGGCCTGAGCTCAGAGATCCGCTCTGTTTTGCTCCTGATCGTACTCTGACGTACTCTGGTGCTTCCCGAGTCGTCCAAACTCGTCAAAGTCCCAAAATGCTTACCTAAGCAATCCCACGGATTTCTTCACTAATACGGTTTCGTGCATTCGTTTGTATAGAAACCTACACAGTCAAACAGTTCAGCACCCTGAACTGGACCTGTAGAAACCGTGGAACTGCTTACACTGGTGTCCATGGGACACCGTGAGACTGCTGAGCAATCTTTGGATGAAGGGAATGAGAAACCTCGTTTCCCATTCCCATCGTCCACCACTTTGGGCATAATAATTATAATTATTAAATAAATCGACGTATTGATCGATCTCAATACGTCACACACTCAATACTCATGAAAAATTGAAGAAAAGTTTCCAAAGAAAAACTGCGATATCAGTGTTTTTGTTGTTCGACGGAAGAGATATAAGAATGACAATTTAGGATAAGGCTTTTTTAATGTCTCTAAAAGTGATGGAATTTTTGGATAAATCGAAAATTTGGGATTGGATCATTGGCCAAAAAGTAACAGAATATGCCATATACGAAACGGTTGAAATAATGGAAACAATTGAAGGTAATTGAAAAGTAATTAAGAGATTCTTAGGAAAGGATTCGCCCCCCTCCCCCTCCGGCAGAAGCAAAGTCAAACATTCCACACATGTGAGACGAGATAAAAATTTATTGTTGTAACCCACATACCTTGTTTTGGTAACTCTATTTCTTCAGCTGCTGCAGCTTCTTGTGAGCCAGGAACAACCATGTCCCTGTATTAATAGTTCCATTTAAAAAAAACCTCGTCCTTTTTCTGGGCCGTCGTTCAATAGATCCTCTATTTCTTGACTCTTCATGGCAGCCACTTGCATTTGATGGGCAATACTGAAAAGGTCATTCAGCATAATTCTGAAATTATCCTCTTTTCTTTGATCATTCTGAGATTTACCCTTACCGCACTTACGGAGTTTTTTTATATTGGTTCACTAATTTTTCCAGCGTTCTCACTGCGTGAGCTTGATGAATAATTGGAATCTCTGCATATTTCCAAAACGTTGCGCGCTTCTCCACTACACACTTTAAAGCTTCACGAGCAGTGAATTTTTGATCGGCATGTCTTGTGTAATAGAAAAAATCAGACCCGGTCGCTCTCTTCGGTCGCTCCCTCGTTGGGGTTTGACCGGTGGGGATTGGTGGAATTGGGTGTGATCCATTATGGGTCGAACCAATAACTTCCCGACCGATTCCTCTTTTTCTGTTCATTAGAAAAACAAGCAGGGGGCCGAGCCTATCCGACAGAAGGCATGTGACCGTTACCGTACGCGTTATTAGTCTTAACATTCCTTCATTTCTGCCAATTCAATTGATAGTATGCTTCCGAATGGATCCGTTGCAATTCTATTTCAAAAAATTGGTCTGGGTTGGTCGCTCGCTTCGCTCGCTCCCATTGCTGTTCAACTTGAGTGAGTTCACTTTAAAGTTGAAAAATTTTCAACTCCAAAATTTTTCAACTTTAAAGTTGACCCACTGGAATCTTTTCGAACTTCAATGTCAAACCCACTTCAAAATTCCCCAACTTCAACGATCCACAACTTCAAAGGTCTTCAACTCAAAGGTTACAATTTCACAATTTCCTCAACTTCAAAATTTAACCTTCTTCAAAATTCTTCAACTTCAAATTTGACCCACTTCAAAATTTTCTCAACTTCAAAGTTGATCAACTCCAAAAATTTTCAACTTTTTTTTCCAACTCTTCCCTTTTTTCAAACCGCAAAATTCCAAAGTTTTTTTAAAAAACTAAACAACCGCTGAGACGATTGCCCTGAAAATCCACTGAGAATCAATTCATGTGAAGAAACATCGATTACATAAAATTGATGCAAATCCCATCGTTATTTCACGGAGAATTATCGAATTTGAATGAAATTTACACTTTTTGGCATTTTTTCCGGTGTTTTATGCAAATATCTAAAAAACCGCTGCGTGGATTCTTCTCATAAACTAATCAGTTCTAAGTTACATTAACACGCATCCATTGAGAAAAGAAATTTTGGAATCGCTTCATTCAGTCACAAGATATCGGACCAAATTTCTGTCACATACATACATACACACACACACACATGCAGAGATGTCTTCAAAATTGTATCAGGATGATTCGAGAGACCGAGAAACGTAAAGAAATCATGGAAATTTCACATTCGATTTTCGGGGTCATTACAATAACTTCCTTCGGGTCGGAAGTTAATAAGTAATTTGTCCGGGGGAATACCCATAGAAGGAAAGTTTTTTTTTCAAAAGTTATTCAAAATGCAAAATAGAAGGTGTCACTGGGCGACTAATTGTCTATAACATCATAACTCGAAAAATATTGGTTGTCGGAAAAACTATATAGTCCTTTTTTATTGCTGATGGGTGATAGATTCAGATAAAAATTTTATTTATGCAAAAAAGTCCAATTTACAATACGTTTGTTAATAAACAATATAAAAACTGTATAAAAAAACACGCTTGCGCGTTTTAAAAAATTCTAAAAAAAATATATGTGATAGTGTCTATCAGAGAATTCATGGTCAAATTTTTGAAGGGTGTATCGATATAGGGCCTAAGATATTAACTATTTCGTGAAGCCGTGACAGATAAAGTGGACTGGTGAGCTCGCTGCGCTGAGCGAGTCGTGCTGGCAAATCTGCGGTATTGAGCGGATGTTCCGAGTATCTATGAAGTGAATTCGTGATTATTCACATTTGATTCCATTCTTTTTCTTTATATCTGAAATTATGAGAAGTACAGAAAAACAATAATAATTTATTAAAAAGAAAACAGACCCAAAATGCTATAGGTAAATTCAACGAAGAGAGACGCATTTTTACGTTATTTCACAATGTATGTACATTACTGTTACTTGAAGATATTTTACAATATATTTACATTACTACTACTATCACTATAAGCAAGTGGCAGACATTTTTAAGTCATTTTACAGTGCTTCGAATTTCAAATTCACCGTCCAGGCAATGAATTTTACATTTGAGACTATGAGTATTAGAAATGGGTATAAAACAATGAAATTGTCGAGTCCCCACAATGGGTGAAAAATTTTCAAATCGAATTTTCAAAGCTTGCTCTTCCAGTGCATATTCTTCAATGGTACAAAAAATGGTTTGAATGGAATCAATCGATTCTTTGGCAAATTTATACAATTGGCGCGGAGTAGTGATTGGATTATCATACGGTCTTTGTAAACTTGCTCGTGCTGCGGCTCTCTTGAACGTACCACCAATCCCATCACAAGGTGATTTACCGAGACATGTTGCAAAGAAATGCCATTCAGCATCCACACCGAAGTCCGCTTGGTGATAAACTAAATTAATGAAATTTTTTTTATTTTTATATTGGGAACTGGCACCATCAGAGAAGTGAAAAATTTTTTTCATCACGCTGTGACGAAAAGTGGACTTTTCGGCACGCTCCGCGTGCCTAAAAGTCCAATTTCCGCCACATTGTGATGAAAAATATTGTTCGTAACTCGTGAAAAAATGTTTTTTAGCTCGTGAGATTATATCACTCGCCTTCGGCTCGTGATATAAACCTCCCACTCACCAAAAAACACTTTTTTGCACTCGTTACGAAATATACTATTTAACGGAATATTTTTCTTTTAAAATGCTGATAATTTTTCTGAGAAATGAACGAACAGCTACGGTGTCGTGAATCGAGGACTCGGAAATGACTACATAACTATCGTGTTTCAATTCAGTATCATCACGGTAAGATGCACCTAGCGGATGAATAGTTACTTGATCTTTTGCCCAATGATAGCCTTGAACAGCATCCTGGATAAGGAATCGGTAGTTTTCAGCAAAGTCGCTAAGAATGAGGAATTCGCCCGGTTTCAAGTTCGTTTTGCACTGATTCAAAAAAGCATTTTGGCTTTTAGCAATGAAATCGTGAAGTCTGAGAATTTTCAAATCGTCGCACAAATTAGTTACGAAGAATCAGTCTTCTCAATTCGCCGAATTAATTCAGATCGATCCGTAGCAGTCCAAGTCATATACGTCACTGAGTCGATGGAATTTACATCGCAAATCTCTTCTAAATGATTTCTTGCGCAAAAGTCACCGGAACATTCAGAGCATTCACCAAGGTGGCAAGATGAAGTTGGATTCTCACACATCATTGCACTTGGAACTTCTGAATAATGTTTCGGAAATGTACAGTCATCAAATGAATCTGGTAATTCAAAAGCTTTTAACCCTTGCAATTTCAATTTAATATTCTGATGAATTTTACAAACAGACCGAATAAGTTCCATTTTCCCCAGCCAATACGCATTCGCGAGGACGAAATTCAGCGAACTTTGAGAATCCGATTGTTACGTTCAAAATGCCGCTTGGTGATAAACTAAATTAATGAAATTTTTTTTATTTTTATATTGGGAACTGGCACCATCAGAGAAGTGAAAAATTTTTTTCATCACGCTGTGACAAAAAGTGAACTTCAGAATTTTTTTTTTTTAATTGCGCGAAAACTTCTTTCAAATTAGACAGAATTAAACATTTTTGAAGGTTCTTCCGGATACCCCCTACTTTTACCGAAAGACAATCCTTTTTACCAGGCATGTGCGGCTAATTTCATCAGTCCTGTAGAAGTCTTTAACTAATTCTTCCGTAGTGATACTTACTGTTGATGTGCGTGTTCTTTTTGGAGTAGAAGCTCCTATCCCTTTCTTCTGATGGATCTACAAAGCTCGACGTGCAGTGTAGTACGGAACATTGAAAGTTTTCAGGTTTAAAGTATTAATTGCACCCAAAGTTATGAATGATACAGTAAGAAGGTCATAAATGAAATAACAGTGAGAAACTCGCCAATTTAGGATCCCATGACAATAGTACCACCAAATGTATACTTCTCCCTTGCACATTTCTTCTTTCGTTTTTATTTATCAGTTATGAGTTATAAATATTTTTCTAGAAATTTCAAATACATTATGGGATAATACTTCCACAAACTCTTTTATCCTGCAAATCATAAAACTAAAAAGAATAATTTACTGAGAAACCACTGAGTATGTTTCGGTCGGCTAACTCAGCTCGACGCGACTTCACTAAATAATTAATATCTCAGGCCCTATATCGATACACCCTTTAAAAATTTGACTATGAATTCTCTGATAGACACTCTATCACATATATTTTTTCGGATTTTTTAAAACGCACAAACATGTTTTTTATAAAAATTTTATATTGTTTATTAACAAACATGTCGCAAATTGCACTTTTTTGCAAAAATAAAATTTTTATATGAATCTATCATCCTTTAGCAATAAAAAAAGACTTTACAATTTTTCCGATACAACCAATATTTATCGAGTTATAATGTTATAAACAATTACTTACCCAGAGACACCTCCAATTTTGTATGTTGCATAACTTTTTGATAAAAAAAATTTATTGCCCTCGCGTTTACAGCCATTTCTGAACCTCTTCTATAACATATCCGAAAATCGAGCAAAAGTAATTTTTGACCTATTGAAATAGTGTGGAATGCCTCGTATACGAAGGGCTGCAATCCACGGCACGAGTGGTCGAAAAAACCGCTGGGCACGGGACCATTTGCCCACGGGCCCAAATCTACACGACGTAGCATGTCGGTCAGACAGTCTCGGTCTTATAGGAATTATTGAAATTGAGTATCCATAGAGCATCATTTCCAATACCAATTGTTCCTAAACGATGGCGCTATAAGGCCTAAAACATTTCTGATATGAAATAAGCAGGCCCGTACCCTCCTTTTGAGGGAAATTCTGGTTTTTGGTACCCATTCGCGATATTTAATCACTCCGCTCATATCTGCATGTAAATGTACAATTGTACAATTCGCAATAAATTAATTGGTTGATTGATCAAATTGTTCTCAATTGGTTAATCAATTCTCACATCACTAAAAGTACACATGCTTCATCTCCACACAACTCAAATACACGACCAATTTTACACAATTAACATGTGCCCTTGCATTTAAGTCCGCACCAAAGTATTGCACACATATTGTTGTGAACCTTTTGCAATTCCACATG